GCCGACCCACAAGGCAGTGGGTGATTCGGAGGTTTGCTTGAGGGACTCCGCCCCGAGCCTTTGGCTCAATATCCTGACCCACAAGGCAGTGGGAAGCAGATCCAGCTCGGGAATGTGATTGCAGATACAGATTGGGATCTGCTTGACGGCCGTCACACGCAGCCTTTGAGGTTCTGGAACAATTATCATATGTTTTATGACCGTAGTAGGATACGCACCTGCGACCACGGCCAGACGCAGGTGGGTTTTTGGCGGGTTTGCACCAATTTGACCAGGGGCTGCCTGGCTTGAGGCGGGCAGTAGCAAACCATTGAACACCCGGAGGTGTCCTCCCACTGTCAGAGACAATGCGTGTCCCTCGCGCTCTACGCCAATCGAGCTGTGAGATTATAACCCTTAAAGCTGTTGTCTCCCATGGCTAGGTTTTACGGGAAGTGGGCCATCGACCACTTCCTAACCTCCGGAGAGGATGGACTGGGATACTGCCAGGGCGCCCAATCCTGACAGGAGAACGACTCGGATCCTCAGCCAAAGCCTTCGATTAAATGAACACCCGAAAGGCAGCGGATCTAGCACATGGTCAGTTAGCCGACTCATGCGGATTGGTGTCCTGGATCTTAGCAGGGAGAAGGGCGAAACCCAACTCCCACCCAGCGGTCGCCACGAGGAGGCGCCCAGGACATGAGCAAATGGCACAACAATAGCAGCAGTGGGTAGACCGTCTGTCAGGATCTAGCCACCACCAGCCTCAGCGCACCATAGGCTCTCCCGCCATATATATACATATATATATATATATACATGTATATATATATATATATGTAAATATATGGTTGGTAAGTCGAACACCATGAAGAATGCCTTTGTCGCTTGCTGTGCTCCCGACTTGAACGTCTTAACTGTGTAAGGATCTCTGAAACATCGATTAGTTTGATCGATGCGCGTAACTGGGTTTCGATGGCCACGAAGTTTAAGCATATCCGTAAATCTCTGACACGACGCCTGGCAAGTAGTCTTCGAGTTGACCGGAAACGGTGGGTCGCAAACGCCCGTGAGATGTCGGAAGCCAACGCTGTCAGAAACACCCGAATGCTATTCCAGCTCATCCGGAACACGGGTCCGAGAAAGCCAACATTTAGCGATACAATAGCTGAGAATGAAGGACACTTGATCCACGCTGAGCGTGGTCGACTTGCCCGTTGTGCGAAACATGCTGAGGGGCGGTTCAGCAGGCCTGCTGCTTGTCGAATCACCTGAGCCGACGTGCGAAGCAAATGTCACTTGAGCTCGCCGTGTTAAAAGGAAACAAGGCTCGCGGACCCGACGACCTTCTCCCATCGTTGTTGAATGAAGAAGGTGACTCTTCGTTGACTGGATTTCCTTCTCTTCAACACGATTTGGAACACTGAAGAGGTGCCTTCAGACTGACGACTATCAACTGTCGTGGCATAAGCCTTATTTACATTGCGTCAAAACTTCTCACGCATATAATTTTTCGACGACCATGAGAACCGGATCACCGATAGCCACGCTGGCTTCCGCCCTGGCCGTGGTTGCAGCGACCACATATTTACCCTTCGCCGTTTTATAGCAGAGACTCATACAGACGACCGACTATGGCGGTTTTTATTTACTTGAAAGTCGCCTTCAACTCTGTTGACCGCGCCAGCTTATGGCACTGCTTATCCATGAAGCGCGTGTCATCTGAACTACTTTCCATTTTGTAGTCACTCTACTGTGATTCCCGAAGCCGTGTGAGGGTCTGGGGGATACTCTCTTTAGTGGCCCACAACAAGGGTTCGCCAGGGTTGTTCTATAGCTCCTTATTAGGCTGCCAAGCGAAGCGAATACCCATGCTCTGCGTTGCCGCACTAAACCGGGCAAACTGTTTGGTCTGGCGCGATGCCAAACATGTGATCAGACGACCAACACCGGAACGCAGGTGCGACATGGATTGCTGTTAAACGTATGTTGACGTTGACTATTTGTACGTCTATCGTGTGAACGAGGTTGTGCCAACTGTGGAACACAGATGCGATGTGAGTGGCTGGTGAATCCGCAGTGGGCGTCGACTGGAGCCGTACTCCGGCACGAAAAAATGGCCAAATATGGTAGCCGAAACAAAACGAAATGCGTTCACATTGATTATGGCCAGGAAGCTGACGATGAGGAGTTCGACGTTCCCTTAACTAGAAGTTTAGTTGGCCTATAAGTAGAACGATTCCGTTCCATAGAACACACTCCGTTTACCCCAGTCAGGCTTATGTTTTCCCGGTTGGATTGGACACCAGGTATAAGGGGCCGTATGCAGCAATACCGCAAGTGGGCATCCCAGCACCTCTTCAACTTTGTGATCGAAATGATCATGAATGACTCGGTTCTTTCGGACTTTTGTAGAGTGGAAGTTCTGCCATGCGATCGACTGACAAACCTGGAATATGCGGACGACATAGCTCTTCTTGGGTCTGATGCACTGGCTATGCAAACACTATTACACAGACTTTTGCATAGCGCTGCACGCTTCGGTCTGTACTTGACGCCTTCAAGGTGCAAACTACTTATGCAGGACTGGACTGACACACCTACCGTTTTAACTATTTTCGAAAAGCCACAGGAAGTGGTGGATCGGTTTACTTACCTTGGTAACTGTGTCATCTCTTCTGGTCATATCACTGAAGAGGTTACTTTGCTTATCAGCAAAGTCCGTGTGGCTTCCCAGAGGCTAAACTATCTATGCAAATGGCGGGATATCAGCTTGTCAGTGAAAGGCATGGTGTATAGCCCTGCGATAAGACCTAGATAACTGTATGGATCGGAGGCCTGGGCGGTTCGCAGTGAAGACAATAAACGGTTGGCCTTGTTTGACCACCGGTGCTTGCGAAGTATTGCCCCCCTGTGGTGGGTACACCTAGTGAGGAATGCTGAGGTCCACCAGTTGGTTTTTGGCAAGAAACCTTCTGGTACCTCACTCGAGTGTTTGTTCAATCTTAGTCGCTTGCGTTGGCTATTCCATGTCCTCTGTATGCCCGCTGATGGACTTCCTCAACGTGCATTATACGCCGTGGCCTCACCGTTGGGCAAAATCACGAAGTGGCCAGTTCATGACGTGACAAAGTAGGTTGATGAAATTAACTGGGAGACTTGGTCAGGCTGGTGCGTGCTGTCTTCGTGGATGTGGATCTCGAGACTGTCCACACCAATGGTTAGAGACCATGTCAGACATGGCACAGTAACGAAGTCAGTGGAGTTACTGCCTTCGGCTTCTTTCATCTGGTGGTTACTTTTCATTCCATTCTGATTTGTCTAACACATTTCTTTCTTGCTTTCATTTTCTCTATATTCAAATTGCACCCAACCCCACTGTCTTATCGATGCTGTGATCATAGTGTGGCAGTGTAGCGTCGGAACCATTGCAAAAGGGGGAACCAAAGTACAATAGCAGACAACCGATTTTTTGATCTTACTCATACCATTTTGAGTTCTTTTATGTTCGTTTATGCATCAACTTCTCGAACGTCGAAATTGCCACCGAAGTCAAAAATTGTGGTGTTTTTGGACGTTCGAGCTGCTTTTGATACATTTATAGTTTATCTCTCTGTGGAATAGGCTGCAAACAACCGTGTAACCGATAAGCCTGTCGTATTCTTAAAAAAACTGTATATTCATATATCAAGCAAATTTAGAGCTTATGGCAGGCATTTTTCATCGTTCGCTGTGACCAACGCAGTACGTTAATGTTGCCCCATCTCGTCGTTCCTGTTTAATTTTCTAATCAAAAATCTCCATCACGTACTGGAAGGAGCCCAGAGCTGCGGCGTTGAGCTTCTCCCCAGAGATAGTCATGGACTTGGATTATGCTAATGACATCTCTTTGCTGGTGGACGATGCACAGTCATTAGTGTAGGTGCACGTTTCTAACGGACCTGCTTGGCTTGAGGTGGGCGATATCCAGCTATTGAGCACCGGGTGGTGCTTTCCAGTCGCTAGAGACAACGCATGGCACTTAAGCCTATCTACTTATCTACTTAAGCTTATCTGCTTAATTACCTCTTATCGCGCTTGATTGAGATTGAGATTGGGATGGTCATAGACCTCTCCTCAACCTTCGATTAAGATACTGAGTGTACCTGACTTCTAACCATTGACCTCTTGTATGCCTGTCTCCCAACGCGGCCCATTGTATCACACAGGCACACAACTCATCGCTCTTTGCTGCGGCCATTCGATAGTGAGCTTTTTTGTTAGTTTAATGTCTAGCTGTGTCAAGTTAACTGGATGCATTGCAGTTCGGTGCCTGGATCACATTTGACCAACCTAATCCAGCCGTATCTTTCATGTTGCTCGATTTATTATGATCAGTGTTACTATTCGATCCTGTTTAAATCAACCGCGTTGCTGTGTTAGTGTAGTTATGGTGCATTCCATTTGAGCCATCAGCAATCGCTTTCTCGCTAACCTTTTCTTTCTGTTAATGTTCCCGTGAAGAATATCGCTCAGAAATGCTTTTGTGATTCCGTCACAGCTGTTTGCGTCTTCCACTTTCGTAGATGTTGCTGGAAAACGATGACGAGTTAACTGGCACTTCGGAGGATTCGGATGGTTCCGCTGATGACGAGACAGAAAAACAAACTTCTTCCTCTGAATCGTCTGTCACCAACATAAATGAGTCTTCAAAACCTGTGGCAATGATCCGACAGCCGCTGACATGTTCTCGCATCACACGGTCTTCTCGTGCAAAATTTGACAATGTTATCACGGTGGAAAGCGACTGTTCTGATAAGCAGCATGATGAAGCAGATGTACCCCAAGCCAAAAGCTCAGTTGATCCCTGGTGGTATAAGCTGTATAAGGAGGAGTATGACTGGTCTGTTGAGGTGGGTTGCAAATTGGAGGTTCTCCTGCACATACTGAAGAAGTGTAATGATATTGGCGACAAACTGCTCATATTTACTCAAAGCTTGCTGTCATTGGACTTACTGGAGCGTTTTCTGGCTGAAATACATCGCCAATGGCTGATTCACCAGGTAACCCGATTGTTTTTCATTCCCATGGTGCTTTATAATCTAAGCGTTTGACTTGCTTTTTTACAAGCTTATTAATCTTCGCACAGATCCGTATAAGGTGAGACGTAATGTCGTTCCCTGCACCGTTCCATTGGTAACGGTCCAAACGGCTTTTACCACTTGATAATTCGTGTCTGGTTCACATCTTCCATCTTTAACTTAGGAAAGCGATAGTCATGCATAGCCTTCGACTTCGGCTTATTCGACTCACTCCATCTTAACACTACACGAACTGTCTTCTTGTCGCCATTTTAAGATTACTTAACTTGCTTCGGCTCATCTGTGATGGATTATCACTTGGTCATCTTACAATTACTTGTGTGCTGCTATCACTGCTGTTGCTTAATTGTAGTCATCGTTTTTTAACCGTTCGTGGAGGCCATATGGCGCTGTCCTGTGTTACCTTGTGTTACCTCGCCATTCAAATGGCCAGTGTTTCATTATTCGTGTGTGCACGGAAAGTGCACATGGCTTGAGCAATACGCGAACTTCCACACTACAGTGCCTTGATCGTATAAGAGAAGTTCGATCCTTCGTCTTCAGGATGCGCAGTATCTACCTACCTACCGTCAACGAAGAAATGTAGAGAATCGTTGCTCTGAGAGAAAATAGCTACCCCGACAATTTTATAGCGAACTATTTGAAGAAACGCAAATGGAAGCCACCTAGAAGCATTTCTCCCAAGGAAGAGCTGCTCATTCACATACCATTTAGGGGCGATCATGCCTCTGATCTCCTATCCCCACTGAAAGTTACCTTTTAACAAATTCACTTCGTGGCTTACCTTAGAATTGTTTAGCGGATTGCTACCTACGGTTGCTTATTTCGTAGCTTCGTTGTCAGGATACTGTCATGAAATTACCTACATACCAGGATTATTTTTTGGCAACTTCAGCATCATTCAGTTTCATTTCAAAATGTGCACTTTCTGTGTGTGGTATCTTATCGTAGCTTTCGCAGTATCATTTTGAAAATTCTACCTGTGTGGGAGACTTGTGAATGCTCTTCGATGCGCAAATGGCCTTTGTGAGCGCTTGTGGTGCTCAATCCACCTCAGGTGCAGAGAGCTACTCGTGGGTGCATTTTGCTGCAGTCTCCGGAGCCGTTGTTTGCATTGGCTACCGCATCTCCGTGACCGCATGAGTCGCTGTCATTTTCTACTCATAAGCTATTTAACTTTTTTGAATACGCTAGCCTAAAGTTCAACTTATCACCGCATATTGAGAGGCTAAAGCAAAGTTCGCTGAAAAGGTAGTTAAAACTGGGGTAGCGCAGCACATATGCAAACGGACGCGCGTAACATGGTGCTCAATTTCATGGTGCTCCGACTTGATGTTAACCAGCTTTTAACAAAATGCGAATGACATTTGTATTCTGCAGCATTTGGCAACAAGCGACCACTCAGCTCTTAGTACCAACCTGGAGCTGCCGCTGCAGCGATCCAACTCATTGCAGCCAGATTTCAACGGCGTGACTCGAAACGCGCGCCAAGTGAACTAGTCTCTACCGCAATCTGCATCTGTTGAAGCTTGTTGATCCGTTATAAAGAATGGAGTAAACTTATTGTGTAACCGTTTTGGCCTCTTAACTGTTGCAAAGTCGGACCGGTTAAGCTACATTTGTTTGACATGGAATATTGTAGACTGGCTCCGCGGCGACAGACTGGCACAAATTACTTACTTTTGGTTCGGTTGACGACTCCGTAGTGTGAGAAAAGGCAGCGAAATATTTACAACAACGTGAGAACGAGCAGCCGCCGACATTTTGAAGAGCGGCTTTCAAGCGCATAAAAGACCGTCCCGAAGAAAATCTTTGCTTAAGAAAAGCGGCGGCTGAAGCCGGCAAGTGACCTACCAGTGATAGAGTACGCTGACGGACAGCCTCTAACCTCCCGCACTGAGCGTGCGTCCATATTGACGGCGCAATTTACTTCTGTGTTTGTAACTGACGAGGTGTCGTTGCCAAGTTCGGCGTGCACCGCCCTCATCGAACTCGACAGCTTAGATTGTGGTGTAGAACAGGTGCGTCAACTTGACGACACCAAGCCTATTGGACCTGACGGGCTCCATCCCCTGATTCTTGTCCTTATCGGTCATCACCTGGCCTGCCGTGACTGACCTGTTCAACGAGTCTATGTCCGAATGTTCATTACCGATTGAATGGAAACACTCGCTGCTAAGGTCGAAATTAGACAACTGCAGGCCTATTTGCTTGACAACTACTTTTACAAAGGTTGCCGAGAGCATTGTGAGAAAGAGTTTACAACAGCTTTTGCGGTCAAATGACCTCCTGACCCCGCACAGCACGACTATATGCCAGGCCGACCGACGTCAGCAACCTGCTCGTGACGAGGCATGAATGTTTACAAGTAATGAACCAGAGGAAGTCTGTCAACCTGATCTACATTGGTTTCAACAATGCGTTCGACAAAGTTAATTGGGAGGTCTTGCTCCTCAATCTGAGGATGTGAGGTGTTGGTGGGTCAACGCGCCGGGACTTTCTCGTTGGACGAATGTGGGTTACAAGTCGATAGCCATCTGGTCGACTAGTGTTCCTCGACTAGCGCCGAGGCTGGGGCCTACATTGTTCCTGATTTATATCAACGACGTACCTCAGCTTCTTCCGTTGTCTGGTGCCCTGTTTGCAGACGACTTGAAGATGTGGAGAGTGATAAGCACTTCCGACGACTGTGGCCTACTTTAACAAAACCTCAACCACCTTTCCATGTGGTATACAGAAGTCCGCCTCTCAGTCAAACCAGCCAAATTGGTATTCATGAGCCTAGGGAAAGGTGCTAACGGCCGAACCTCCACTCTTGACGTGTAACCGCTACATTTCACACCTTTCGTGAAGTGCCTAGGCGTACTCTCACTTTGTGATTTGAAATCCTTGGACCAACAGGCTAAACCGAAACGGACTGCGTATTCTCTGTTCGCTCAAACGTAGCTTCTGCATCTGGTCTGAAGAGTTTGCCACTCGCATTTTCTTCTCTATCATCAGACTAATGTACGGCTCGCCCGCCTATTGACCGACCACTCGAGATGGGCCGCAGAAGATTGAACGGGTCCAGCACGTCGCTACTAGGCTTCCCTGTTGGTGGGGCTTACCATACGAGGACAGATGCGAAGGTCTGGGACTATACACTCCGGTCTGTCGTCCGTTGCGAGTCGACCTCATCATGACTTACCACATTCTACCTGTGACGTTTTCATTCCGAAGTCACTGCTCCACTTTCGAACACATTGCTGCACACTCGGACACCAGTACAAGCTTATGGTTCGAGATCTAAAGCGAGTTCCTCATCCCCTGTGCTTTGAACGACGAGTGTTAAATCCCTGGAACAATTTTCCGGAGCATGTATATTGTAAGCAAACTCGGCGCAACAGTTCAAACCATTGTTGTTTGTGTATTTCTCAAATGTTAGGTTCAGAGAATGGTTACCCATTGACACCTCACATTTTAAGTTACTTATTTACTGTGAATTACACCTTTTGACGATATCATGCCAGAACGTAAAAAACTCTCAGGACATTTATAAGTCATATATAGTTTGCTTTTTTAACCATTTTGACCATATTTTAATGGAGTTGTACAAATTTTACTTGCTACTTGCCTCCGCGATAATGTATTCAGTATTCAGTAATAAGCCATTGCTTGCAAAATCTCGCTCGGTTATCTGTACTGGTGCTTTTGTGGTGCGTTGTACGTGGGCATCACTACGATACGTCTTTCACGAGGGATTCGCGAGCACGCCCTGCCGAAGCCGAAATAAGGGCCTCCAACTTATCTAACTTCGCAGTGAGAGATCAGTCATGGTGGTCCGTCACCAAGCATGGCTCAGTGGCATAAGTTGGATCCGGTGGATACGCGCTACTGACGAGCTTCAATGGTACGGAAAGGTCGTCTAGCGGTTTCCTGGATATGTGGTGACTTTTTGGCTGAGTGTAGTTGCTGTGAATCTTCTCAATAAGTTAAGAATCGGCTTCTTAGCTCGATTTCACGTCTACAGCGCATATTGCATGTCATGTAAACTTTTGAGTCTGATGAGTTTACGCGAGAAGACTGCTTAACTCCACTTTTTCTGGTTTGAATTTCCGTTAGAGAAACTGGAATATTTAATTTACTGAAGATCAGCATTGCCTGTGGTTTGCTGAAACTCATATTTAGCCAAAGCTTTACAATTCATATTTTGGGGATTTGCGAAGAGATTTCTCTTTTGTATAAGTCTCCTCAGGCATTTAGATTTATGAAGAAGATTAAGCAAACGGTGATGCTAACTAGAGCTCGAGTGATAGTGGTTAGATGGCAATTTAAATAGGGTCAGTGAACTCACTCGATAGTTATGTCAATGAAGTCAGGTGGTAGAGGTTACGATACCGCGTCTCGCGCATACAAATAGATAAAAAGCGAAATCAAGAATGCACTGGCTGATGAGGAACAAAACTCACAGCTGGGCCGAGGGTTCTGTCAGATACGGACAGAATCTTGGTCACGGCTAGCGCAAACTGGGTGCTTGTATTAGCGTCCTTTGCTTGAATAACTCAGGTTGTAATAGCCTTATCGCCCTTGCTTCGGGAATGGCCAGTAGGCGTTTACTGTGTCCTTTGGGAACGCGTCTCGACACAGTGTATACCATCTTGAATCCGTCTTCTGTCTGAATCTGATGAGCAGTAGTAATCAGATGCTCGAGGATATCGCTGTAGACATTCTTAACCGTGCCATGTTGTAGACACGTAAGACAGTGTTCCGCTATCCTCTTAGACAAACACCTGGTCTTGTGCCCGAGGTACTTTGCAAACGGATGCAGGTGAATTGATCTAACACAAATGCTTCGGAACGAGCCGGGATACTGTATTTGAGGCTTTTGGTGCTGAGCGGAACTGTCTCGCCAAGAATGTGTACTCTGGCAGCCGAATATGTTTGCTCAATGGCGGTCGACAGTCTTCTGTTCAGTAACTCTG